TTCCTCCCCTCTCCGGGATGAATCCGAAATTCGGCTGCAATCCTTAAAATCCTAAATAAATAACACACGCCTTCTCCTCCCGTCCCTTTGCAGGAGAGGAGCAGCCCGTCCCCGCCGCCGTGGCCCGCTGGAAGGAGCCCCCGAGGCTGCAGATGCATCTCTGTCCTCGTCGCAGCAGGCATGTGTTAGTACGGAGTGGCAGCTGTAGTATCGCTTACTGGAGGATCTGGTAGTAATCAGGAAGGTGAGGAGTTAGTGAAATACATGTTGTATTTATTGCCATTTTACAGGGCGAGAGCGGGCGGCCGGTGCCGCAAAGGGAGCCATTTGTAGGGTTAAGTGCTCCAGCCTCTTCCCACGGGCAGCCTCGCCGGCCTACGGGGAACTGGATTTCGCCCTTCCCGGGGACCCCCCCCCCGCCCGGGGCACAGCCGGTCCCCGGGCCGCGGGCAGGTGCCCCCGAAGGCCAGACCCGTCGGGCAGCGGGCAGCCGAGGGGGCTCCCCTGGGTGTTTGCTCCCTCCCACGGCTCCCTCGGGGCCCCGGTGGCGGGACCTACCTCGGCTCTACCCACCCGCCGCAGTGCTTTGCCTTCACCCTCCAGAGTCCCCTTTCCTCCGTGGTCCTGGCGATCCCCGCGGACATACCCTCGGCAGGGGCTCCGGAGTGGTCCCGGGGCTCGCCTCGGGGGTGCCTGGGTGGTTAGGGGCATCTGGGGTGTCCCGCCCCCACCCCTGTCCTTACACAGAGCCTCCTCCGGTACCGAGCCGCGCCGCCAGCTCCGCGCCCCGCACCGGGCCCTTCTCGGGCCGCCAAACGTGCTGCGGCTGTAAATTAATGAAAACGTAACAACTCAGACGGGGGGAAAAAAATAAGACGGTGCTGAGACGTGCGGATGGGACATAAAAGCGATGGAAAAAGGTTCAAAGCTTTCGGTGATGACTTTTCAACCTTTATTTATGTGCCTATTAATGCAATATCCATCATGGAGATATGCATCTTTATCCTTTCAACTGATATGCTGGGAATCAATTGGATATGCAGATTACATTTCATAAGTTTCCAAATGTTAATCTCCCCGGCCCTTTGCTGGTAATTTCTTTTTTCGCCAAATAGTATTATGTTTCTGCCACAAAAAAAACCAAAACAAAACAAAAACCAAAAAAACCCTTAAAACAATTAATCTTAAGGCTACTTGTCTCGAAATATTTGCTAAGGCTCGGGCCCGGGAGCCGGGCGGAGGACGACGCTGCTGCCCGCTCCACCGCCGGCCCGGGGCCTTCCCGGGGCACCG